GTTCCGTAACGTTAAGATACCTAAGGGGAAACGGCTGGGGTTGTACCGTGCTACTCGCAGCCCAAGCATTTGGATTTATGTTTATTGGTACTAATAGTGTACCAACGCTTCATTTAAAGACTTACCTGTACGTCTTTAATGATATCTCTAAAAACTTCTAAGCTATTATCGATTACCGCATTCGTTGCCACTGTAACTTTGCAATGCAACGATTCAAACTGATTTCACCTGCATTCAGTTGTTCGTTTCCATTATTCGTTCATTTTCGAAGCCTGAATTCGATTCTGTTCCACGGAGGCAGTGGCTTAAGGAGGTTCATGTGAACCTGATGTTAACTCCATCCTCCGCTAATCAGACAAGCGCTAATGGATCCATAGCATGCCATAGCTATATTGGTAGGATAATCAAGCTATCTTGTCCTCGGTCTGCCACTTGACCGTCCTCCATGTCGCATTGCCAAGTGAATTTGACTTGCGAAAGTCACCTCTGGTATTCCGATTGCGAACTCTAGATGCCCGTATTTCTAATGTACCATGAGTATGCCGATGGCATTGCGCCGCTTAGCGACTCGGTCACTGTCACTTACCGAAAGCATGTGCAACATCGCTGTCGGAGTAATGTAGAGCAACGGCAAGAAGACGACGATGGTGACAACGTCCGCCGAAACAGTCAGCTTGAGGATACTACCGATTGATATTGCTATAGAAGAGGAGAGATGTGAACCATTTCATGAACCTCTTGACTGCTGGGCTAAACCATATTCTCGCATATATATTCTTGCATAAATATTTTTGCAGTGAACCTGCACAATCGAATCTAGATCGGCTGTATGGCATTGCAAGATCAAACTATACGATCAGCTACAGAGATTGCTATCCTGAAGGCAGCTATTCGTAGTACCAGTTTGGAAATATGGACGATTCTGAAACGCCATTAAACACGTCTCTACATCTTTCAACAGCGCAGTTTACGAAGTATCATGAAAGAGCGCGACACAGGCACTGTGTTACGAACTAGAAAGTGCCGTAGACTCAACAAAGGAGCCTGGCTTGGTTTGATATAACGGCCCAAAAACAGAAAGGAAATGTATTTAAACTTTCCTTTCATGGAACCGCCTCTCTTGGTAGACTCGTTGGAGCACAATACAAAATGCGGAAAGGCCGAGTTGAGGCAGATCTGTGCTGACTTGGAGGATGATCTTTGCCGCAGCAGTGAACGCCGCCTTATGTCTATCTCATATGCCATTTCTAACTATTTTTAGGGGGGGGGCGCTGTAAACCTGGGTTACTCTGCAGTTCAAGTTATGCTGGGTCAAGATAACGATGACAGAATGCCAACCATCTTTCGACGTAGCCTCATTCATACCGCATCTAAGCTGGAGTGCACTCTGTCGAACAATATCTACCGTTCATGGCCCATAGGTGAATGACAAGTATGAAAACAAAACGTCCCGAAAACTTGCTAAGTTCCTTCTTCATCGCTACGTATCAACTTAGCTCTAGCATTACTGATCTCGCTTTGCTGATTTCTCTGTTCACAATTTCTTCACTTGGCGATAATGCCTTCAGATATTCAAATTTCTCAACTTCAACAGAAATTCTTCTTTCTTCAATTTCTGTTGAGTTCGATCCTCAGAGGAAGTCACAATGCTCAATGAATTTTTCCCACGCCTTTGGAGAAAAAATCACCAATGTCACCACTGACCTGCAGTTAGACGTCAGTTCGTCAAAGGCTAAAAGAGAAAACTCGATGAAAACCGAGCAAAACTAGGAGATTCGTGTGTACGAAATTCCGAGACGTTTGTCAGCCCTCTCAGCCGGTAGAAAACTTTATACACTATGAAGACACGAGTAAATGGGCTTAAGTACCCTGCGCATCTCACGACCCGTTCCACTGCAGCGGTTCGGTGTTCGATCGACGAGAGACTGCTTAGAATTTTAGGTGATAGGCCGCCATCTGGCACACTGACCCGAACACCCC